CCGGCATTTGCCCCGTCACTATACTCAGAAACGAACCCGCGATGCAGTCCAGTGCAGTCCGACGGTAAACAGACCATAGATGGTCCACCCCGAACGCCAGCCCCCACCCACAAAGCCCCAAATTAAGCCCACAAACGCACAGGCATACTAAGCGACCTGCACGGCGCCAGCCGCCAAACAACCCCAGCCCTAGGGTACTCGTACTGTACCGGTACTCGTACTGGTATTATACGAGCACCGCTGTGAAAAAGAAAGAAAAAAAAAGCCGTGAGACAAAAAAAATCACAAGCCACTCAAGTGGCGTAGCACAGCCCCCCCCCCTTCCCCGTTCTAGCTCCATAAATTAAATTAAAGACTGTTTTTAAAAAGGTACAGTACCAGTACGGTACCGTAACTTTTTTTCTTTTTTCCTTTTCTTCTTTTTTTCTTCCTTTTTTTGCCCGCATACCGCGTTAGCGTGTTACTATATTGTCCGGCCGGCCGGCTGAACTGACGGATGGATAGGTAGCGTAGCGTAATTTACCGTACTTGTGTCATAGATGGATACTGTACGAGTAGTTGGGTGCGGAAGGGTACGCATCATACAAGTACGAGTAGTAATTTTTGGTCTTATAAAGGCCCGTGCTTGGGGAAGGCTTGGTTAAGGTTTTTTTTTGTAACCATGAACCCACGAGTATGATACTCGTATAGGGCGTTGAATTTCTCCCTCTTCCCTTGGGACTCGCGATGCGATGCGATGCGATAATATTATGATGAGTTAAACCCAGCGCGGTGGCTTCGGTTTTGCTCGGGGTGGTCTTGTGGATTGACACACGCATCAACTGGTGATTTGGTATGACCGAAGACTTTGATCATTCCTCCCCTCCCCTCCCTCCCAAATATTTTTTTTTTTTTGCAAAAACCGAAATCGCGAAAATATATATATATATATATATATATATATAATTATTTATTTATAGTATAGTATAGTAATAGTAAGTGCACTCATTTCGCAAGTTACGCCAAGTTATCTTTATCACACGATTCTGTCTCCCCTCTAATAAATAAATACCAGCCAGCATGACCACCGTGCTCGTATAATGATTACTAGCGTATATATACATACATACATACAAACACAGTACGGTGCGGAAGTTCCGGACCGTTTATATATATGATATGCCAGAAATCTGATGGTCCCCGCCGGCGATGTCATCCGAGATTTTCCCGCTATTCTACTTGTATATATACTGGATCTGTTGTTTCGTGCTCGAGCTGGGTGGGCGCTTGCCGTCGTTGACCGCGTGGGGCGGGTAAAATCGCCGTAAGGACTGCGTGAACGACCGTGTACTGTACGATACAGTACAGTATTAGGTAGACAAGGCAGGGATGGTGTTGATGATGATGATGATGCGAGAACAATTATGATTTCCCTCTCCAAAAATATCGTACAACATTCCTCGGATATTTCGAGAACAAAACCCTTACCCATCATGAACAGCATTCACCTTGATGACCATTAATTCATTCATTCCAATCACCCTGCAAATCCCGCGCGCCAGAAACTAACTTTTTTTTTTTTTTTTTTTTTTAAAAAAAACACATTTTAATTTTTGTTTCATTTTTCATTTTTTATTTCTCTCTTTTTCTTCCCCTTTTTATCCACGAGGTACGAGGTACGAGGGAGAAATTTCGAATTTCAAAGCATGCATCCACAACAATACATAAACTTACCGGGTGGTTAGTTTCACAAAAATCATCCATCCATCCCCCCCCCTTCCCTCATCACAAAACTCACAACTCACAACACACGCGCACACCCGAGCGCCGGGTCCGCCCCCGCCCCAGCTTTCTCTCCTCCATCTTTATGGGAAGGTGCATCGCTGTATTGTAAGGGAGAGAGATTGTGTTCGATGGGGTCTATTAATAATGATAATGATAATGATAATGATAATAATAATAATAATAATAATAATAATAATAATAATAATAATAATCTGATACCGAGGAGGAAGTGAAAAAATGTCAAAAAAGTTAAAATAGAGTGAGTTGGGTTTGGGGATGTGGATGGGTTGGATGACGGTGAAAAAGAACAGCCACAGATCTGCTAATGATACAATACAGAAGTGTTCCTGTTTGCCGGTATGGTATGGTGCGGTAAAGCGGTATCCTACTGTGTAGTAGAGTACTGTACTCGTGGGTATAAGTCATGTTCAATTTGGGCATGGCCAGTCCCATGGCCCCTCCTCCCCCCCCCTCGTGTCCGTGTCAAAGTGCTTCTTTTCTTTCTATCATAGCATTAACCATGTGGTGTCACCCTACCGCACTGTATTTACGGACTGAGAATGGTATGGAAGGCGAGGCAGGTTGGCATATACCATAACCGGCCGTCTCACACATCAAAAATAAAATAGATAAAAAAACGGTGCGAACCTTAAAATTTTTCCAAATTTATTTTCAACTACAGGCGCCGCTACTAGTACGGTACCGGTACGGTACTCCCACGCATGCTAGATATACCCACCTACCTACATCTGCAATGACCCTTCCAGTCGTGGCATCCCGTGTTCTTTTGTGGGTACCATGGCCTATCGCATTAATCTACTCGAGTACCACTCTGTTACATCATTATTGATTTATTCTCAGCGACGGTACGAGCAGGGCCTAATTATAAAAAACAATGGAAATACGATTGAGGGAGAACAAAAAAAAACAAATCAATGATCCCCAAGCGGTCGTTTAAAGTGGGGGAAAAGAAGGGGGGCAGGGGGAGAGAAAAAAAGCCACCGAATGACCGCTATTCCACATGATGGGGATTTTGACCTAGGCACAGTATCGTATAATATCTGCCTCTAGTATAACCTTGCCATCCTTTTCTGCTGAATGATCCGTGAAAAATCCTCAACCTCGGATCGCTAAAACGATGCAAAGAAGTTTCGCATAAACTGAGCTCCTACGAAACAGGCGTGTGGCTGGGATCGATAAAACACAATCTTTGTATCAGTCACCACCCTTGTGCTCCTTACGAGTAATCCTGCCCCCACGAATTGGTGTCCTGCGAATTTCCTATCTTCACCCTTCCTATCATCACCCACCTTCAGATGTGCAATGTACCCGTACTACCCTACCCCCAAGAGCATGACGATCCCCGCCGAGATCTCAGAGAAGGACAGTGGCCGCCAGACGCCGCTGCCTGAGTTCCTCATCCGCGATTTTCTTCAATACGCGGAGAAACCGGGGTAGTGTTAGCAAAGCTAGGCTACGAAGGGTAAAAAAAAAAGTGTGATATCTTTGCAACCAGTAAAGCGCAGGACGTAACGAAAAGGTGAGAAGGGGCTCGCACTTTCTCGCACTCATCCATCTTCTCTTGCCAAACCTCACCCGCCGACCTTATCCTTTCGGCCAGTGCTGCATATTCAGGTCCTCCCCAATCTTCACCATTTACCATGTCTGATTCATTGCCATCGCCTTTTCCGTTTCCGTCATACTTTGCTTCCCTCCCTCGGGCGAAGGTCGCCTCGTCCGTAGCCAATCGTTGAATTTCACCCACACACTGCTTCCACTCTTCCCACAGTACGTCCAACTTCTCAAGCCCCTCGTGAGTCAAACCCTTAAGCCTATCAGCCTCCTTCCCTAGAGAGCCGGAAAGCAGGGGTGAAGAACTGAAAAGGGTGTTTTTAAGACTTGATGAGCGAGAAATATAGGTCTCCGAAAGGCTAGCTGTTTCCGCTACACGGGAGAGAAGTGTCTCTAGTTTATCCGAAAGTGCTCGCGGGAGGCTTTCTGAGAGGTGCGCTGTCGTATGGTCGAGCGAGTCTGTTTCAATGAGAGAGAAGTGTTAGACAAATAATGATAGAACCACAAAATATGATCCAACCACCAGAAAATCAACGGGGATCCGGTCTTAGGCCCGGGGGAACGAGGGAAATAGCAACTGCATAGAGTAGCAACGACGCATAATAGGATATATTATTATGAGGGAGCAGTGTGGGTGAGCGTAATCGAGTGACAGTTTCCTGGTGTGCATGCGGGGCAAGCTGGGGTCCAGGAGCAATCAACCAATTGGCAAGGCGAGGGCTAGAAGGAAAAAAAAAGGGGACAAACGGGGACCATGTTGGCCCTGGTCTCGTGAGTTCTCACTGGACCGATGTAGTATCGCAGGCATATTTCAGTGCCCAAAAGCAAAAATAATTGCCGGCACCTTTGTCAAACAAGGAAAAGCATGTTCCAAAATACAGCAATAGGCCGGTGCATATGATCCGAACATAAATATCGATCTGCTGCTCTCATAGCAGAAGTACTAATCTTGACCTACCAGTAAAAGATTTTGCCAGCGGGTGTTGTTGCACCAGTGATTCCCTCTTCTTCTTCGTTGTCTTTGACGGTCTCCGCTTTCTAATTCCATCTGTATGCATCTTGCCTTTCCGTGACTTGTTTTCGCGACTGGGAGAGGCCTTGCCTCTGCCAAATCCCCTGCCTGTCTTACCTCCACCAAAGCTTTGCTTATTGATAGCAGAGGTCGAGCACTCGGGCCTGGCGTCCGCGCACCTGGCTCCAGTTCCACCACGACCAGCATCACTGGCCTTGCCTTGGCCTGTCATAACGGAGCTTAATTTTAACTTCATACCGCTCTTGCTTTGGCTGTCCATGGGCCTGGCCAGAGGTTGATTACTGGATGTATGATTATAATAAGGTTGTAACTCGTTGGTTCGAAACAGAACAGCCTTTGGCTCTCGTGTGGCTTGGACGGTAGTGGCGCGTTTCATGTTATTCCATGCATGTTCCTGTTTGGGACGCTCAGCACCGGGTAAGAGGGATCTCTGCTGCTGGAGCCCTGCTGCGGAAAATCCACATTTAAACATCACAGCCACAGAAGAAGCGAGATTCGATCAGATCCAGTGCCAATGCACACATAGGAAGCCGATTCAGATTAGACTATTTTTTATTTTTTTTTCGGTTAGTGAACTGTCTGCTATTACTGGATGAGTACCCAGGCACGGGAGAGGGAAAAGAAACCAGGGGCTGAAGTGTAGGGGGTTTTTTTTCCCCCTTCCTCCTCGATTGTGGGAATACAGTTCACCCGCACAACATGTGTGTGGAGCAGGATTACAAAAAATACTGGGGTGGGGGATGGAAAGAGCGGAAAAAGAGATGGTCGACGAAAAGGGGGATAATGGACGCCGTTGCCCACTATAGCACCGTTGGGAGTGATGAATAGCAAGGTGGATGGATTGGCATTCGAGGGAAAGGGATATGGAGAATGTCAGTGGGTAACAAGGGGAAAGTAGGAGGGCGACCAAAGCAGGATGACGACCGTAGCCCGGGAGAGGTTCTGGCGAAACGGAGGTGCCACGAGAACGTTCTACCCCATATAGTACACACGATACCGAGGGTAGGCATGTGTAGTGAGCAGTGGGTTAGGTTATGATGGCGGCGGCAGTTACAAGTAGAGTGAGATCTGTGTGTGATAGCTTATTTTTTCAAATGATCCCGAGCCTAATTTTCTTTTGCAGAGCAACAGAGGAATTATTTGGAATTATGCCCTTTTGCTACTACTATTGCTGCATATTACTTGCTTTAGCCACCTACCGGTATCAGCACGGTGTATAGTACCAGTAACTCTAACTCTTCGTTATCTGACTACCGGTAGGGTATTTGTGGAACATCATCTCGAATCACACCCAGTCAATATACAGATCTGAGTGTGAGATGCTTGGAGATGGGTACAGGAAGCAGTAGTGAAACGGGCGAGAGTGGTTCACCTCAGCACCCCATAACGGCATGTCAGAGTGTGATAAATTATAGTTTGGAAACCACGTGCCTGAAAATAGACGCTCCCACAAGCTTCCAGAAAGGATTGGCCAGCTTCTTTCCAGGTCACCTAAAAGAATGCTGAGGTTATCACAGTACCGTAGACTTACATATTTTTAAGAAGCGCGGGGGGGGGGGTGGTATTGGGTGTGCCGCTGAATTTGGCATGGAGGTGAGGGAGGAGGAAGGGCTTGGTATTTTGTCATCCCGAAGAACACGAGTGGGGAAGCATCAGCTTTGCTTGCAGTCCCCAAGAAACGGGGAGAGACATATCGAGTGCTGGAGTACGGTAGACAATTACCACCCATGCTGCCTTTTTTCCCTTTTTTTTCCTTTTCTTTTTTTCCTTTTTTGCTTTCTTTCTTCCCTCTCTCTTTTTTTCCTTTTTTTGCCTGGATCCGCAGCAGCAGCGTTATTTTCTGCGTCGAGCGGTGTGTATTCTATGCTTTCCATAACAGGCGGACCTGGTAGGTACAGTTACCAGGAGTAAGGCTGGCTGGGGATTCATCATTGATCCGCATGGCCCTCAAGATACCTGTACTTAAGCCGGCCAGTCTTCCCCCTAAAACCTCCTGGCTCCAGCCCCATAATTCGATAGCAAATTACGAACATTCAATCGCAAGCACGAAATACGACCGCCAACCACTTCCACTGCAAATTCCATATCCCGGCGAACAAAACATTTCAACCTTGGTCGCTCCCCCCTTGTGCCCCCCCCAAATAAAAAGCGGAGCTGCCCCACAACCACAACATCTAATCAAAAAATCAATACACGCTCCCAACCCAGGGAAAAATAATAATAATATAATACAACCTGCCCCCCCCCTCCCAGCTTGTCGATAGCGAGGGGTAAAAAGTTACATACATAATATCTCAAAAGTTGAGAATTGTGTTCTCTCGGTCGGCCTCTATCATCCCGTCACGCTCCAATTTTTTATATACGGTACTCCTATTGCAAAATGTCGATCCGATTTGGACGAAGTGGTGAGTGGAGCACAGCGGGGCGGTTTCTTTTTCGACAAACTTTGGTGATCTGGTGCTTACTGTTTCTCGGCTACTTAGGAAATGGGTACGATAGCTCCGAAGTCATGGAGACTGAGGATGATGATTGGCGCAAGGTGACAGACTTGAACGAGCGTCGCAAGATTCAAAATCGCTTGGCTCAGAGAAACTACCGTGAGCACCTCCACCATCTCTACTAGTATCAGCTCCTGGGGCGGTGATCCGGGGGCTATTTCGGGCTGAAATGGTATCTTATCCCGTGTCTTTTTAGGTCGAAAACTGCGTCAACGTCTGGAAGAACTTGAGAGACAGGCTGGAAAGAATAGTGGCCCATCCACCTCAGTATCCAACAAGAAGAGACCGAAGCAGCCAACTTCTGGAGCTGGCACTGTCAGTGAAACATCTGCTAGGGGTCGCGCCAATTCTGGACCGAGACGTGGGGAATCTTCCCATGCTCCTCACGGAGTGGTGGACACAGAGGGCCGCTTCTCGACAATCGATTCCCTCCTCTCACCTCCAAGTGTGTCTGGTGAGTCTGAGGACAGTAGCGCTTCCGCCTCCTCTCGTGGAATCTACACCAGTGATTTTAGCCCCATGCTGCTACGACCAACGGCCAGGTCCTCAGAAAACACATATCCAGTATGGCAAAACCAATCACAGCTTCAGTACCCCGAACCTCCAAGTTACAGCTCGAGCCAGCCATACATTGCAAGCACTTCTGAGTACCCTCCTACCAGCAGTGTCCCTGCTCCTTCAGTGTCTCCAGCGCCAACTCATCAGCAGCTACAAGCGTACATACCCCCCTCGAACTAGCCATCCGTTATCTGCACTGCTAACTGACTCCCTCCTCCTTTTTCAAGATTCGAATACGAACAGTACCTATCGACCCAATGTCCGCCAAACTACCAATATTGAAATGCCAGACCAAGCGGAATTCCCAACCTTATCTCCTACCTATTCGTCTAACCCAACCATCGACCCAAACACCTTGCACTTGAACCCACTAATGCCTCAAGACGAGTTCTATCTGGCTCTCAACTGCCCCAAGCTCTTAAATGCGGCAGTAACGATTGGCAAGATCCTGAACGTTAGTAGGTTAGAAATGTTTCAGGATGACACACCATCACTATTCGTTCGAGAGAACACAGAAGAACCGCTGCTCAAACTACCAGATAATTCTCCTGATCTCCAGCCGCCAAAGGTTCGAAAAGGAGCCCAACGTCTCCCTTACATTGAAGCTGCGCCCCTCCAGGGCTTTCGTGGCACGCTGCTCGAACGCATTCAAAAGGGAGAGGAGACAGGATATTATGTGGGCGAGGTCAACATTCGCAGCAAAATGTATGAGAGCTGGGGTGTTTGTGGAGAATGTCCATGGGAAGGGCGAAGCTAGGAGATTGGTGAAGCCTTCGCTAGGTGAGAAAAACCGCTTCTACCTTTGTATTTCATTATTTTGACGAGTTTCATTTGTATGGAGTTCTGTTGTCTTTTTTGCCTTTTCCCCTCTTTAATGAACTGCATGCGTATGAAGTTGATGTATATATTTTTGTGTTTTTTTTTTTTTTTTGTTAGGTTTCGCTCGCTTTCCCCTTAAGTTCATTTCATTTCTTTTAACAGCGTCTTTCCTCGAAAACATGGCTGCGGTTGCAGGAAATTTTCATGTTCCAACCTCATTATTCCATCATTTCTCCTACTGATTATACCTTTCCCAATTTTTTTTTCTGTTCTTCTTTTTTCCTTAATGCCTCTTCCTTAACATTTCTTTCTTTTGCTTGACAGCCAAACGGCGGGCTCCTTCTCGATGGGCCAACAGCTGACGGAGGGAAGCTGAAGGGGAAGATTGGTTCCTTATGGACGACGAGATGATTCGATCCACTAACTGGTGGTAAAGGTGGAGAGGCCTGGAGCCGCTCCCAGCCCGAGGAAGAGTACTGGGAGAAGTCAAATGAATGAATCATGACAATGATCAAGCTGCATAAAAATGCAGTCAGATGGCAGCGGAAGGTTCTGGCGCTACGAAACATTGAAGAAATACCCGGGGAGGGGACTGTCCAGTAGGTCCCAGATCCCAGACTGTGTCAGTGGCAGGCAGGAAAGAGAAGAGATCATTCATTGTGTATATATGAAATTTGTTGTCGATAGTCTATTTCTGGTATATAGTAACTCTGTTGTATATTAGATGTTTCCCCCCCAAAAAAGGTGGTCCGGCTCTTTTCTTCTCTTCTCGTCCGCCTGTTTCCCAAGCAAATGAACGGGTGAGCAAACAAATAATAATTCCACCGGAAGAGAAGCATGTATCACCCAAGCTCACTGTGGGCACTTGGACTTCTCGAGGACTTTATGCCGGGTAGTCTACAGTACGGCGCAGTATGGCCTCAGATGACTAGCCTCGGGCGCAGTACGAGTACCACCATAAATCAAGGGGAAAAAAACGCTTGGTAATGATCGCCACACCCGTCCTACAGTAGTGGAATCGGGAGATTATCACTCGATCTCATGTTCCAGATCCAAAAGTGTTTCACACACCCACACACCCACTTGTACAAGTACCGTACCCTTAGGTTGATCTGGTTAGGTCACCCCCGGATCACCGGCAGCTCAGCAAAAAAAAATCGTTTTGTTTCCCCTGCTCTTTTATTAGTCCTATGGGCACCGGTAATTTACTCTTTTGGATTGAGGTGTCGGTAGGGTGTGATGTCCCGCACAGCCGGGCCTCACAACGACCGGAACTTACCGGTGCTGTACTGTACGAGCACTTGTAAGTATCCCTCATCACGCCATTCGGATTCCCAGGATAGTGACAGTAACGCTGTTGAGTTAGGTCGAGTGATGGCCACGTTGGATCCTGAAAAACAACAACAACTGGGAGCCATGCAGGATCAACGCTGATCCAAACTCTTTTCGAGGGAAAGTTCACTTTCGTGTCTTTGTCCGAATCATATACCATGATTGCTAGCGAGGATATCGGATAGGTGACATTTTTGGGACCTTCCCCGGAGGAAGAGGAGCTGAATGGACGAACCACATGATCACGTTTCACACATCCTCTCTGGCCCCCATGGAGTTCCTATTGGGTTCTTTGGATGGCCGCCGTGGGATGCATATGTAGATGCGGTATTCGGCTCGGAACACTCCGATCGGTTTCATACGGGTTTTGGTGGTCAATCGGGTAGGACCGCTTAGTCCCGGGGTTCAGATTTGTGTTTAACAACAATCGTCATTCCTTTGGTTCGTCTATTTTGGAAGGCGAGACACTGACCTAGACGCCATGCATCCGCTCTCCGGTATTGTGTGCAAATGGGATAAACAGTGCTCGTACCTTGGATGCTCACGAGATGGCCATGAATGGTGCTCAAGGATCGGAAGGGATGTTTTTTCTTCTTCCTTCCCCTTTGTGTATCCAACCAGGGTGTTTGGGGCCTTCTTGAGAAACCTTCGCCGGTTTTCTTTTTCTTTTTCTTTTCCCTTTTTGGAAATGGCGTGCCTCGGGGTTTGTTGCTGGGGTTATTATGCGGGGACATGTAGGATCTCCCTATGGAGGGGAAAAAAAAGAGACTTCAGATTACTGTAGGTGAGTCAGGTAATCTAGTGCCCTTGCCAACGTTCTTTAAAGACCCTCTAATTTCCTCTTTCCTCGTGAACCTTTTATTTCCCCTTCCCTCTTCATTATTACCATCAGGGTTACATGTTGCGCCTGTAAATTTCTCCAATTGCCCACCCTGATACTGAGGGCATATCATACGCCTCCCCCCCCCCCCACCGCTGCCCACTCTTAACTACTCAAATACCTACTACTTTTGATCTAACAATACCTACCTACACAAACAGTCACAAACAGCCAAACGCCAAGTACTTTCAAAAACTTACAACCATGGCTCCCCCTTCGGCCATGGCCTCAGACTTGACTCCTGCTGCTGTAGCAAACTCCATTGCGAAGAGCAGCACCGAGGCAAACAATGTCACTGATCAGAAGCTCGCAGAGCTTGATCCTTCCAAGTTGAAAGTTACGATTACCAAGTCTCCTAGACAATTCCTAGCCGATAGCAGCAAAATTGAGTGGGGGAAAGCTGACGTCTCCACCGACCACTGGATTACTGTGAAATGGTCGGAGGCTGCAGGATGGGCAGCGCCCGAATTGAAACCCTATGGCCCAATCGATTTGTGGCCCACTGCGTCTTGCCTGCATTATGCCACTGAGTGCTTTGAAGGTATGAAGGCCTACCGCGGTTTCGACGGGTCTCTGCGTATCTTCCGTCCCGCCAAAAACACAGCAAGAATGCTTGTTTCTAGTACCAGGATTTCCCTTCCTAGCTTCTCGCCTTCCGCCCTGGAGGAATTGATCAAGATCTTACTCGCTACCGATGGGCCAAAATGGCTTCCAGAGCCTGGCTGCTTCTTGTACATCCGTCCGACTTTGATAGGCACTGGCGGTGCGTTGGGTATCCACAGGCCCCGTGAGGCGATGCTCTTCATCGTTCTTGCTCAGTTTCCCGTCCTATACGAGAAGAATATGAAGCTATTGGCTAGTCGTGAGGATTCTATTCGTGCTTGGCCCGGTGGATTTGGATTTGCCAAAGTTGGGGCGTGAGTCCCTTTCCCGAATCATCACATCCCTTTCTGGCGACTGAATGCTGACCCGACGTTTCATAGGAATTACGGTCCTTCCTTGATTGCGCAAAAGGAGGCTCTGGCTAGGGGCTATGATCAAATCCTTTGGCTTTTCGATAAATCCTGCCAGGTGACAGAAGCGGGGGCAAGCAACTTCTTCGTTGTCTGGAAGAATAAGGATACCGGGAGAGTCGAATTGGTCACTGCGCCTTTGGACGACAAGATCATTCTCGACGGAGTTACTCGTCGCTCAGTTCTTGAATTGGCCAAGGACCGTCTCACAGTTTCTAATGGCGAAATCCAGGCACTCGATGTTGTTGAGAGAAAGTATACTATGATGGACCTTATTGATGCCGCCAAAGAGGATCGTCTCTTGGAGGCCTTTGCTGCCGGAACTGCCGTATGTCTTCATCCTGTGCTACATTTTGTACTAAATTTTCCTGACATAACTCTAGTTCTTTATCTCTTCTGTCTCAAAGGTCCACTTTCGCGGCGAAGACATATATCCGAAGCAAGCTAATGGAACATATACCGGCCTCTTGAAGGGCTGGCTTAAGGCTATTATGTTCGGCGAGGAATCCCACGAATGGGCCGTTGTCGTTCCCGAAACCGGTTTTGAATTTGACGCTTCCGCAGCTGATAAGGAAATTAACGAGATGGTGGAAAATCTTCGTCGGATGAAGGATAACCCGGCCTTCGCCCCTGCTCTCCAAAGGGTCCAGGCGGAAGTCTAATACTGTCTTCCTTCACCTTGTGAAAGTAAATAGTTTTTCCCTATTTTCTTTATATATTAACTCTATTCATTCTACTTTTCCACTATGTTTTTGCTTTTACTTCACAACAGAGGGGTTCCGGGTGTGATTTCCGATCGACAAAACAGCGACGTTCATGACGTTCCTTTTTTATGGCTTCCCTTTCAGTCTTTTTACTTTTTTCCCTCCATTTTCTCCCCTTCTTAGGTATCTGGACCTTGGTGTTGTGGGGAACCCTTGTCGAAATTAGAAATATAACAAACTGATTGCAAAACATCTTTGTAGTCACGGGCCGGCACTTGTTTTCATCATGGCTATATAGTACCGGTATATTTGTATCTCGCCGCAACACAGCAAAACCACCCCGAAACAAGTGGTGAGCATGAGCAATTTAAGTTGATTGTGTCAACACCGCCATGGGTTCCCACCCGATTATACATTTGGGTGGTCGAGAATCTAGGGGTGATATTTCCTACTACTCACGCCACTGATGGACCTGGGAACCTCCTGACATGGAATCACTTGCAGAAGAGCAGAAGAGCTTGGAAGTTTAGTAAATTATAAGCGCCTGGAATCTAAATGGCAGCTCATATAAAAAAGCATTTGATTCGAAAGTTTCCGTGTGTGCAAGGGTTCGGGCGGGCTCTAAAGCTGTAACTATTCCACGGGTCTTGGCATTCTCGTGACAGTACCCGTACTGTACAGTACAGTAGCTGAACGTTTCACCGAATGAGTGGTATCATAGCTGTAATTGTGTAATTTCAGGTGTAAAATGTGCGATCAGCAATCAGACGTTACAGAACTGCGCTGCACTATACAATACTTTCGGTAGGGATGGATGAAGTATTGGGACGTGCAGAGGGAGGGGACAGATGCCTGTGCGAAGAGTTAATTTATTCGCTTGGCTATCACAAAGGTGGTGTTACTTTCCTTTCCAGGTATCCGGGCAATCTGGATTTATGAAGGAAGGAAATCTTGTACTGGCCAACAATGGCCCCGTTTGTCCCAATACTTGATCCCTACGGCGAGTTACATTGGGATATCATGAGGGAATGTCACAATGCGTCAGTCATGACCATACCCGCACTATCGAATCCATGGATAACCAGCGGGGTGAGCTGGTTAATTGTGTGTGACCACTACACCATAATATTATACGAGTGTTATCGTAGTGTTTGCGGCCACCCGCCACTCTCCATCCTCCTCCTCCTCCTCCCCCCGAATAGGGAACATACAGGAACACTGTGGACTGGTATCACGCCGTGGAAGGCTTTTTTTTTTTTTTTTTTTTTAAAAAAAAAGTCGGAGACATCAACGTGTGCACAGTACAGCACCGTTGCCTACCGTATATCATACCTCCCTACCGTAATGAAAATGATATATACTGACATATACAAGTATGATATGACCTCCGAGCAATATTCTGTCATTCGTTCGTCGCGCTTAGTCGTGCAACTGCCTATAATCGGAGCAAAGATCGATGCCGAATAAATAAACTACCCCACCTCTCCCCCCCACTTCCTGCTATGCATATACTGTACGAGTACAAGTTATCTCATTCTCACCATTTTGCTCGATCAAGCTGTGTATCGCTTATCTGATATAAACCCACATTGTACCAGATCTCGTTCTTTCTTTCTACCGCACGAACAGTTATGCCCGGCAACGAGGCATCCCCGGCGAAAAAGAGGAAGGAAGGGAAGGAAGGGAAAGAGAGAGCAGCAACAAGTTGGATGAACGGATAAAGCTTCCCGCAGGATCTGCAAATTGCCAAGAAGCGTGAAGTGGTATTGGGGTAAAAGATCCCAGCACAGCTACGGAAGGACCGAATGGTCTTCAACTTCCCTCCCCATCCCTCTACGTTTACCACCCCCCAGGAAGGTCTACAAGTACTATATGTAGGGGCGGGGCGGGGGAAAGTGCAAATGCAAGGTGTACCAACACAGTGCAGTGTCGGGGATACCGCGGTACCCGGATCCGACGTCCGAGATGGAGTATCATGACAGGGATGGGTTGGACATGGGGCGTAGTTATTAGACGGGGTATTGAGTACTCTATGGTATCATACAAGGAGGGGGGCGGGGGCGGGCGTATCAATCGGGGTTTAACCGATAGCGAATTGATTCATCTGTGACACCCCCCTCCCCCATGTACTCGCTTTCCCGGAATGGTTATTGCATCACAGCCCGTACGGTGGGGGTGGGGGTGCTGAGGGGTGAAGCGGTGGGTTAACCTTCGGTTCGGTGGAGTGAGCCCGGGAAGTGTTTCCGCTCGCGGAGAAAAGAGCCTAATCATGCGTACTCACTCGTTGCCGGGTGGTGAGTTGTGTCCGCCGAGCGGTTGAGCTGGGGGGGGGGTAATTTATCGTTGGGGCGCTGTGCGTGTGCTGCGATACGGATACCCCCTTGCGCCGATCCGGATATAATGCCAGACTTTATAGTTTGAGTTACTACAGTTTTATGTATTATTAAGATATAATTTTCGTTATTAGACCTATTCTACATCTTAGCTTTCCTTATTAGTTCTCAAATATTACTTCCTAACTATTGCTTGACTATTACTTACAAGTTATAAATGTAGCACATGTAAAGCAAAACCAAGTCAGAGAGAACAACTTGATTTTACAACACATTGGCTTCTGCTATTGAGATTTCTATTGCTATACAATCACTATAAATTGCTGCAAGTGAGAAGTAAATACAAAGGGAAAAAGACAATTAGGTTTCAAAATTTTTTTTTTTTTTTGAAATGCTCATCAGATATTTATCCTTCCACTCAGTAATCACCGTTCTTCAAGGAACAGGTCAGAGATGGATGATTTCATCACTTGAGCTTATAAGATCCCTCAGATTCCCCACAATTTTATTTGTTCTTATGGATCTTTCTCCTGCTTGTGTTAGTATTGTCCCACCCACCAGCCCACCAATTCCTCCATCCCAATTGTATATTTTTTTACCTTTTTATATTGGAGAGGAGGGGGGGAGAGTTTCACTTACCTGTTTGATTTTTTGTTGGTAGATTCCCACCCACCAACCCTCCTATGATTCCATCCCACCATATATAATTATTCCCTATGTGTCATTATCTGCTCAGCAATAAAAAAAGGGGAGGGGGTCACAACTCACCTGGGAATTCCATCCTGCTTGCACAGGATATTCCCACCCACCAGCCCACCTAAAATCCATCCCGCCTGTCCCTACTCCACAACTGTTTTAGTTAGTAAATTCTTTTCTCATATACTTATTCTCATAGATTATTCTCCTGTTGATATTAGTATATTCTACTTTCACTTACGTTAGTAAAATCTCCAAAAAAACCCAATTCCAAATCCTCCCAAGGTTTCGTCGATGTGTAATGGCAGGTCACCCGCCCACCCATCCTCGCAGAGATTTTCCGATGTGTTGGCAGGTTACCCACCCACCCACCACAATAAGTTAGCACCCACTTAGTGGAGCATGCTGCAGTAAATGTTACTATAAAGAATAAAGAAATTATTAGAATAAAACTTTAAAATAAAAAGAGAAGAGAATGAAAGAAAAAACAAATAAAGATGTAGATAGAATATAAAATAAAGAAGAAATAAAATAATTAATAGACAAGCCATATAGGTATGCTTTTAAGTAGCAATACTCTAGCAGTAATGATATGGTTAGGAGAGGAAATACTGACGTTGAGTTATATGTTTGTTTCTGTGGAAAGGAGAGTTGAAGAGAGTAATGAGAGAAAAAAAGAAGAAATGAAGGAGAGGAGGATGCCATTATATAGATCTGACTCAGAAGTGCCAAGATAGGTTAGTGGGGGGGAAGAAAAAAAGGTTAGGGTTTAAACTTGTATAAGGAGGAGGGGGAAGGGAGAAGGAGGGGTTTGTATACAATAAACATTATCAAGGGAAATATAATACAGCAACAGAAGTTGAAAAAAGACCAGTTAGTGAATTAAATTAACCATTACTTATTTATTCTCCTTTAGTGATGAGAATTAAACTGATTGATAGGTGATTTTCCTCTTATCTTGTTGTTTATAGTCTGTAAAAGTAAGTGTGATGTATCTAATAATTTTTTTTCTTCCCAAGAGAGGCTTATATAATACTACTTTTCAACCACTAGGCTTGACTTCTAGCAATGAAAAGCTATTCTATAATAGCAAAGGTTTTTCAATTAAATATAGAGAGCCTGAATACTAGCTAAATTTTTTTTTGATATTCAGATATTTTGGCATGAAGACTTATACAAATTTACACCAAGGTGTCTCAATATTTAAATATTCAGTTAGTACCTGTTCACTATATCTGTCTTCTTTTTACAAATCTCTGTCTGACAGTAATTCTATTATGAGAAATGCCAATTCTATATCTTTAGATTAAGTCTATGTAGTTTACTTATATCAAGTGATAGTAATTCTCTTTTAGGCTATTCTAAGTACTAAATACTGCTCTATGATAGGTTCAAATGAGTATATTACTCTGTAATTTTTACTCTCAGTCATATAAAACTAGTATTATATAAGTTTCTCTAAGGAAAAAAAACAACAACAATAAAAAGTCTGGTACATTATACTTATTTTTATATCTTATTTGCTTTCGCTAACTTTAAGTAATAGTGAAATAGGAGGTAAACTGACTATTAGAAATTCCAAAGAGCTACTTCTGCTTGGAGGTAATTTGAACAAGACTGAATATAATTTCTTGTTTTTTATCTTACCTTATAGTACTTTTATTGCTGATATCCTGCTTTTTCTTATAATAACTTGTATCTCTTGACAATTTTAAAATCTTGAATAATTAAATGATATACCAAGTAGTTAAATTAGAGTATATTTTATAAATATATTGTCATGTATATCTGTTAATATGAGATTTATTAATTCTTAGTAGCTATTCATACTAGTAGAAATCTATTTCCTCTTCAAAGTTCTCAATCTTTCTCTTATTTGTACTTTAATCTCTTCTTTCACTATACTACTATTCTTTTTAACTACTCCAATTCCCTCAATCACCCATTCTCTTTACTCTTCAATAAGAGAATTATTACTAATATACAAATAGATAGTTTGTAGTCTTCATTCTTATCAACTGGGAGTAAATGACTAATATTAACAGTTTGAAAATTCCTGCTATATCAACTCTCTTCATTTAGCTGTAAACTATCTACTTGGCCTTACCTACTATCAGTATAATATTAACTCATCTACTCTTTACTATACTTCCAGTAAATCTTCTTCCTTTTTTTAAGATTTTATCATTTTTTTTTTAATTTCCTCCAGGTACTACATTATCA